AGATGCCTGAGAGGCGCCATTCGCTCGGAAAAGACTTGCCCTCGAACTCGCCTAACTTCCTGTCTCCACTTTGGCGCGCTCAGCTGAAAATAAAAAGAGTGGTGCGCAACCTCGCACGAGCGGACCAAATCCTGGGTCGGGAACGGCGAGTATACTGTGGCCTTAAGAGTCAAAATTCTAAAGCTTAAATTGATGAAAAATCTAAATATAATGCACTTTATTTCATTTCAATTATAAAAATGTCAATTATTATTATTCAATCATGCATAACTTTTCATCTATCTTTTTTCTTCCTGGCAGCAATGAGCTTCCATACAAACAAGAGAAATGCTTTAGGTCAAGAGTAACAACCAGATCATTTTCACACTCCGTATGACGGACAGAATCAAAAAAATGACAAGCTCTGGTTATGTACTGTATGTATTGAACACAGAAATGATGCTAACATTGAGGGTTGAAATCAAAAGGTATGGAGGTACAAGAGCCGATCAACAGGGCAAGTACGTACTGTCTCCCAGGCTGTGACGTTGACCTTGCTGAGGTCCAGTGTGGGTGCCACAGCAACATTGAAGGGGCTCTTAGGAAATGTGTATTCCCCACCCGTAGTCACGGCAACTCCAATGAGGACCCTGGGGCAGGAAGGTGGAGTGACGTTAGATGTGATCACACAAATTATTATGGCTGGAAAGGGTGGACAGAAATAATTGCTGTTGCTGCAGGCCCCCATGCAATCTGGGGGGCCACAGAATTTAAAACAAGTAGAGATGCTGCTGATATGTTATTGCCTGTTTTTTTCTAAATATTTTTTAATGTGTGTGCAGACAGATCTTACATGGAAAAGACAGTAACACTCAGAAGGCAGCTACAGAGGCTGTGATTTTCCCATCTCACCTGCTGCTTAAGAGATGCAGGTGGATGTAATTTTGTACAGTAGTGTGTGTTGTCGTTGTGATTATGTTGATTGGATTTCATAAGTCTTTGAAGTATCATGGTAAAGCGCATCTACTTTTGGTTGGCAACTGAATGTTGCTTGTTCGGTTGGTTTTGTTTATTTTGCTGTAGAGTCTCCTTCCTCTCGTGATTATCAGTACGATCATTCAATGAAGGAACACAGAGATTCCAGAATTCATGGCGAGAAATCGCCATGAATGTTGGAAAAGAGGAGGCCATATGCCGGAAAATTTGGAAGAACCTTTTTGTCTTTTCATAATTTCGTTTTCTTCTCATTGTTGCCCATATGAAACACCTTGTCAGTTTGTTTTCAGATCTACAGTGCTCTCTTTGTTGTGTAATTGTAGAGATGACTGTAGGCAAAGACCAGGAAGTGACTGTCAAATCAAAGGGTGCTGGTGGTCAGGGCAAGGTCGCTGCCAAGGTGACAGGACCAGCAGGGAAGCCAGTGACCAGCAAGGTATATGATTTGGATTAATTTTCTTCAGCAGAAAATGTAAATATTTGATATGTATTTTATTATGTATTATTAAAATACTGCTATTAAAATATATATTTTTTTCTATGATTTCTTGTTCCAGGTTGAGCCAGGGCTAAGTCCAGAGACCAGTCAGGTCAAGTTTATCCCCCGGGAGGTGGGGCCATACCAGGTTGAACTGACCTATGATGGAGTGCCAATCCCTGGATCACCCTTCACCCCCACAGCTTACCCTACCTCAGATCCCTCCAAGGTTAGCTACAGTTACTGACAGACTGTATACATATCTATGGAAAGAATAGAAAATGAATAAAATGCAAGTATTTTTGTTACCGACACACTTGTAATTATTTATCTCTCTCCTTCCTCCCTCCTCTTATCAGGTACGCTGCTCTGGGCCAGGCTTGGAGCGTGCCAAGGTCGGGGAGAAAGGGGAGTTCATTGTGGACTGTACCAACGCCGGCCCGGCTGACCTGACCATCGAGATCATCTCGGACAGTGGCACCGAGGCCGAGGTTCACATCCAGGACAACGGAGATGGGACCTACACCATCACCTACATCCCTCTCTACCCTGGCTCGTACACTCTCACCATCCGCTACGGTGGCCAGGATGTGCCCAACTTCCCTGCTCGGCTCAACGTGGAGCCTGCGGTTGATGCGAGTGGAGTCCGTGTGTTTGGACCAGGAGTGGAGGGCAAAGGTGTTCACAAAATTGTTAAAGCAACAATAATAATTGTTGCTTTATTCATTCTCCATATCTTGCATGTGCAAGTTTTATATGATGTAATTAGGGATGCATCAATTCGATCCGCTGGATTGGTGTTAAGGTCAATCTTAAGCAGGCAGGTATCAGCCAGATGATATACAGTTTCTTTGTCAGTGTCATTGTAACACCGCAACCCCTGACCTCATGTTACCCTACATAAAAATTCTTAGTTCCTGAGTTCCACATGATGTGGTGTGCAGATTTTACACTGGTATTGGATTGGTGCATCCCTAAAAGGGTAATCTAAGCCTGTACAAGCTTTTCAACGACATGCTGCATGTCCCCTGTCCTGTGTTTTTAGGTGTTTTCCGCGAGGCAACCACAGACTTCACTGTGGACGCCCGTGCTCTCACACAGGCCGGAGGTGACCACATCAAAACCCTCATCAGCAACCCGTCTGGCAGCCGCACAGATGCTCTGATCACCGACCTCGGAGATGGAACCTACAACGTAGAGTACACTCCTTATGAGGAAGGTGAGTACACAAATTTTAGTTTGTGCAGAATTTGTAGGTTTGTCATCGGATTCTCCCATACATGAGTTTGAAGTGGTCTTTATATTGTGTGTATGCTTCAGGCCCACACAGCGTGGAAGTTTGCTATGATGGCTCTCCAGTACCTAAGAGTCCATTCCGCATTGCTGTTACCGAAGGCTGTGATCCAGCTCGTGTCCGCGTGCATGGTCCTGGTCTGAAAGGTGGCACCACCAACAAGCCCAACAAGTTCACAGTGGAAACCCGGTAAGGGAGAGAGAATATTGACTGGAAAGAGTTCAAGGTGGAAAACGCTAATTTTACTGAAGTGTTTCTTGCTTGTATGTTTAACATCCGTCCTCCCTCCTGCAGAGGAGCAGGTACTGGTGGTCTTGGTCTGGCAATGGAGGGTCCGTCAGAGGCCAAAATGTCCTGCACTGATAACAAGGATGGCAGCTGCAGTGTCGAGTACGTCCCATACGAGCCTGGCACATACAACCTCAACATCACCTACGGAGGGCAGCCCATCAAAGGTATAAATAATCAATGTAAAAAAAAGACACTATTGTCATGATGTATTCTGTTTTATTTTAAAAGAATTTTAAGGTCCAATGTGGAACATTTAGGAATATAATATAAGAGGAAAAAGTAGAGGTGGAGTTTGGATGTATAAAATTTTGACTTGCTAAACTGCTAGGGCACTCTAGAATACATTTTTTAAAAAACTTTTCTGATGTTTTGTCTGCGCAGGTAGTCCATTCTCGGTGCCAGTCAGTGACACAGTGGACAGCACCAAGGTGAAGTGCCAGGGTCCAGGCCTGGGCAACAATGTCAGGGCCAACATTCCTCAGGCATTCACAGTGGACGCCTCCAAAGCTGGTGTGGCCCCACTGCAGGTCCGCGTACAGGGACCCAAAGGTATGTGTCTGTTCAAATTAGAACACAACCAATAGGGGTTTTTTGAGACTGATTTTAGAGAGGAAGCATTGCCGATTACCCATATTGTGGCTGATATAGTGAATTTTTGTACTGGAATGAGACTCTAAACAAATAACTTTATTAAATATTTAAATTGAATATCCTTTGACATGATAAATAACTTAATATATTGGCTACATTGTCAACTGATCCTAGAAATAAACACTGAGAAAATAAATAAAATAAAATAAATATCTAAACATCTGTACTGTAAAAAACGACATGCCTTTCTGCATTCTATATACTGCTATCATACCGATATGTCTGTGATAGGCCAATGATCGATATATCGGGCTCTACTTCTAATGTTTCTGATCAATTCACAAATTAAATCTTGTGTTTTGTAATATACAAAAAGAAAGCTAAGCAAGAATTTTAACACTTTTTTTATTTAACATCTTTCTGTTTCTGCCTGTTTGTGTGTATGTGTTTAGGTGTGGTGGAGCCTGTGGAAGTGGTGGATAATGGTGACCAGACTCACACAGTCAACTATGTTCCCACCAGAGAGGGACCCTATTCCATTAATGTGTTGTATGCCGATGAGGAGATACCACGCAGGTAACACACAAAAGCACACGTCAACATTTTCTAGCATCTGAACATTTTCTGTCTCTCCAGTTTCTCTGTGGTCATGCAGCTCCTCCTCTCTCCCTCTGTCAGCCCCTACAAGGTGAAGGTGCTCCCCACCCACGATGCCAGCAAGGTGCGTGCCAGCGGACCCGGCCTCAACACCACTGGGGTGCCCGCCTCCCTGCCCGTCGAGTTTACCATTGACGCCAAAGATGCAGGCGAGGGACTGCTGGCAGTGCAGATCACAGTGAGTGCTTGCCTGTGATGCTCATGATAGAAATGTATTATTTTGGTAACTGACAAACTTTGGTAATTCTCCACCCCCTCCCCCCCCTACAGGACCCAGAAGGGAAGCCTAAGAAGGCAAACATCCGTGACAACCATGATGGGACCTACCTGGTGTCCTATGTGCCAGACATGACTGGCAGATACACCATCCTCATTAAGTACGGAGGGGATGAGATCCCATACTCACCCTACCGTATTAGGGCCGTGCCCTCCGGAGACGCCAGCAAGTGCACTGTCACAGGTATGTAAAGGACTGTTTGTTCTTGAATGGTGGGGATAAACCTTACTTATACAGTTTGGTTTTACATTGAAGAGTTAGCAATACTTTGACTTTTATACAATTGGTTTGATTCAAAAGCCATCGTATTGCTGGTCAATTTTATACTGTCATCTCTATACCATTGGAGTGATAGTCTTTTTGCACCCAGATGTTTCATGTTGATGTGTCATGTTGACCACATTTTATGGTTCTGCAGTTCTGCAAATCTGCAGTAGGTAACCTTTATAAAAATAATGTCTGTCCATTAAATATGAAGCTGCAGTCGGGAGATGATTATCTCAGCTTAGCATAAGTTAACCATCAAGGTGAAACAGCTGACCATTAGCGTCTTTACGCTAAGCTAAGCTAAGCTAAGCACTGCCGGCTCTAGCTTTATATGTAGAAACAGACATGAGAGTGTTATCTATCTTCTCAAACTATTCCTTTAAAATGAACAGAGATGTATTCCCTGTTTATTTGTTTGTTTATTTATTTATTTATTTATCTATTTATTTTAGGAAAAAATTAAAACTAATGTTCAGTTCTAATTATCATTCTTAAAAATAAATTTTATTCCCAAACTGTGATGTGTTATCACAAACAATACTCTCCCATAATAACTCAGCTTGATTTAATTATAGTAAGACTTCCTCAGAGGGGTGTGATAAAATACAGGCTCAGCTATTTAGGATTTCATCTCTCGGCGTACCTGCTGCTCACATTGTTATGTTGTGTTCCTCACGCTGTGCTCCTCATTGACACTCCCCCTCACCCAAGTCCCTGCTGTACACA